GTCTCGGCGAGGGGGGGGGGGGGGGGGTGTGTGTGTGTGTGTGTGTGTGTGTGTGTGTGTGTGTGTGTGTGTGTGTGTGGAGGGGGGGAAAAGAGAAGATAGTGAAGGGACACACCGTCAAAGGGCAAAGTGTGTCTGTGCTGCTTGTGGGTGAGGCCGTGGGGAGGGATGATTGATCGATCACCCACACAGCAGTGGCATTTGTACCATTTTTTTTTTAACATATGCAGTGTTGTGTAGAGGTTAAAGCGCTGGAGTGGGAGGCCAAGTGTTTGGTTCCCACTAAACCCCATAACTCAGTCCCTCGGACTAGTCACTCTGTTTCAGATTGACCTACCTTATAGTTGTGAGACTAGACTTAAGAAGGAGAGTCATGTATGCGACCACGTAGGATGCTTAGAATGATTGAAGATTAAAAACGGGGGGGGGGGGGGACGANNNGTGTAGAGGGGGGGGAATCCATGTAACTCGGGATGAGCAGCTGTAGCCCTCCAGATGTGATTTATTTATTGGATTTATTGGTTCGTTTTCATTTATAATCTGCCTTTCCACTAAGAGATCGCCCTCAGGGTGGCTTATGGAGTCACTGTTGCCCACATCCAAAGTAACAAATACTGGCTGTGCTTGTGGAATTGCGTGGTGCCGTGGGAAGGCCCTTTGTACCGAATAGGACCCCAGGCTCATCTCCGCAAAGTCTCCTTTACTGAGCTCAGCTTGGCCTGCCTGCGACGCCTCCACCCAAGAACAGGATTAGATATTAATTGCCCATCCTTCCTCACCACTGGCTTGGGCTGATGGAAGCTATTTCTTTTAAATACCGTAAAGCCTGGTAGATCCTTAAGGAGAAAGGCAGTGTATACATATTTTAAATACTGTAAATAAATAGTAAATAAATATATAGAGGGCTAGCCATTCCATGCCCATGGCACTCTAGAATGGTCAATTTCAATCAACTGTTCTCTTCCCTGGCAAAAAAAATGGAGGGATTCTGGACACAACATTTGGCCTTATGGTGATGCAAGGAATCTGCATTGTTTTTATTCAATGCTTTCAAATAGCTACAGCCTTGTTCACATTTAGGAGATCCTTCAACATTTATTTTATTGGAAAGCTGAGATCCTTCCTCTCAACATGCACCAGAATTCATTCCGCCTGGGTCTTCGTTTAAGGACTGTAATCTGCACAGATTTCTGTGTAATTTCTTGTAAAGGGAAGCGTCTCGCCTTGCCCCGCACTTTGTAGAGCAAGTCTCATGAGGTTTGTGATTGTTTTTTTGTTCTGCCTTTTTGTTCCTTGATTAGGAGTTCCTGTCTCAAAGCCTAAGACACCCAAGATGGAGAGAGGAGAAGAAATACGGAGGAGGAATCCCCAGAAACCTGTGACAGAAGAAATTCCAAAAAATGATAGCCCAAGTAATAACTCTGTTAATAATGGGTTCCGTTTTTGGCTGGTGGGAGCTAGATTTGCCACTCCTGAGCACAGCTTTAAAACATTACCGTTTTGAACTTCCACTCCCAGAATCCTAGCTAGCTGTGCTGGCTGAGGGATTCTGGGAGTTCTAAAATTTAAACTTTTCCAGCCTCCACTCCTGAGATAGATCTAAATTACATGATTCTTGGGTTCAAAACAAGCCAAATAGAAAAAAGAAAACTCCACATTTCACCATATGTGCAAGAGGATAGGATTTGAAATATATTTGCCCCCCTTTCATGGATGCTGCTGTAGATTCACACTGTGAATCAGAGATACATAAGTGAGGCTGCCTTTGCTTGGTGCCCAGGCTTTAAAAAACATCTGAATCTGGCTTTGGAATACACAGATATTGTAGTGCATTCTAAGGTGTTGTCTCCTTCGTCCTTGATCTAACTCTTCAACATCATTAGCAAAATGCACAGAGGAGTCTTATTTTCAGTTTTCAAGAGATGGTAGCATTTCAAGCTAGAAACAAGGAATAAAATGTCAGAATGCGCTATCATTTTTTCACTTCTTGGATGTGCAAAATAAGCTTCTCTTTCTTCATAACTGCTGCCTTTGAATGTTAGAACACCACTTCCTTGTTCACGAGTGAGTGATTTTCTCCAGAAAAGTTATGAAAGGGAGCCTATAAGTTTCAAAATCCTCCAGCATTCTGGCTGGGGCATTCTGGGATGTAGACTGAAAAAGTAACCTCAGGTGTCCTTAGCCCTAAAAATTTATGTTCTAAAATGGTAAAACCTGGTTGCTTATAATACGTTTTGCCACCCGGAGAGCTTATATGCCCATGATCAAACTGTGCAAGTGTCACACAGCAAGAAATTCAGTATCTTTTCTTTTCTTTTCAAAATTTGAGCATATTCTGCCCATAGGGGACGCAAGACAGCTCACAACCGATAAAATAAGACATTGTAAAACAGCTTATATGCCCATGATCAAACTGTGCAAGTGTCACACTGCACAGTTTTCTTTTCTTTGTTTCAAAATTTGAGCATATTCTGCCAATATTTCATTTATTTATTCAAATTATTTATATGCTTGTCTCCATAGGGGACACAAGACAGCTCACAGCAGATAAAATAAGACATTGTAAAACACTATATAAATGTCACATTTAAAAGACAATTACCCATGATCAAACTGTGCAAGTGTCACACTGCACAGTTTTCTTTTCTTTGTTTCAAAATTTGAGCATATTCTGCCAATATTTCATTTATTTATTCAAATTATTTATATGCTTGTCTCCATAGGGGACACAAGACAGCTCACAGCAGATAAAATAAGACATTGTAAAACACTATATAAATGTCACATTTAAAAGACAATTAAACATACATCAAGATTTTAAAAATCAAGTATAAAAACAATTATAAAACATTTTAAGAACCTGTAAGATAAAAACCAGCATTCCTGAGACAACTTACTGCTTAAAGGCCTGCCTGAAGAGGAATCTCTTTGCCTGGCGATGGATGGACAAGAGAGAGGGGGGCCAATGTGGCTTCTCGGGGCAGAGCATTCCAAAGCCTGGGAGCCGCCACTGAGAAGGCCCTCTCTCGTGCCCACATCAAGCAACCTCGGGAAGGTGGTGGAACTGAGAGAAGGGCTTGCTCAGAAGATCTTAAAAGCTTAGAAGGCTCCTGTGGGATGATGTCCAGCAGGAGTGAATTTCAGTGTCTCGCTTGGTTCCGTCCTATCACAAGTGGGAACAAAATAAACTGTTCAAATCAAATATTCAGAAATATACACCATGTATTAATGAGAGATGAATCTCTGATGCACAGTGTGAATCTACAGCAGCCTTAGAATATATATTATATATTATATAGTCTAAGGCTGCTGTATATTCACACTGTGCATCAGAGATTCATAAGCGAGGCTGCCTTTGCTTGGTGCCCAGTAAAAATGGCCTAAACTAAAAAGAAAAGCTTAGAAAAGAATGCTTAGAAAAAAGGGAAGGACTGTTGCTTTAATGGTAGCGCTCTAGCTTTGCATGTAGAACGTTTCCCAGGTTTGATCCTTGACATTCTCAGTTAAAACAGCCGATGAAGTGCCCTGAGTCATGTGGTGGATAAGAGTGATGGACAGAACTCAGGAGATTTGGGTTCAATTCTCTTGCTCGCAACCAAGGAATCTCGTGGGGGTGGGGGTGGGCAGGAAGACATTGGTAAAACAACTCCTTAAATATCTCACTTACCTTGAAACCCCTGTTAGGGTCGCTATAAGACAGTTGCCAGTTGGTGGCATGTCGCACATAACATAACATAAGCAGATTAAGGGAAATAGTAAGTAAGGTGTGGTGCTCAGAATCAGACAGAGGGAAACCTGGTTCAGAATCCTCTTGGCTACATACAACTGATGATCTTGATTCAGTCAACTATTTCTCACCTAGCCTGCTTCACAGGGTTGTTGTTGAGGATAACACAGGGGCAGAAACGCATATATTTAGGGGAAAGTTTGGGTATAATTGTAATAAAGAATCCTATTTATTCTCCTGACATGGGGAACCAGTGCCAGATAATGTAAAGACAGAGGTAGACAGTCAAATTGTCTGGAATGATATAAAGCAGCTCTGCCTTCTTAATTGGTTTCTCCTTCTTTAGAAACGAGTCTTGTCGATGACAAACTGGCCTCTGCTGCCCTTACTGTTGCCACAGCTGCCGTGGCTGCTGTTAAGACTGTCATAGGGGTCCATTCCTGCATTTTCACCAGGCTGGCCACCCGTCGGAAATTGCTACGGCGAGACCACGAGGAGGTGGACGAACTGGAGCAACTGGTGGAGAATGCGTCCATCGTCCGTCTCCGGGCGGTGGTGGAATCCAGCATAGATTCCTTGAGGACCATGTTGTGCTCTTGCCTCTTCCAGTCTCCGGCCGTCCTGGCCGGACTCATAGATGAGCTTTACATCATGGAGCGGGCTTTCTGGGTGCAACCTGGCCGCTCCGAATGGTGGGAGAAGGTTGTCCTGCCTCACTGGGACGACCCGCTTTGGCAGGAGAATTTCAGGATGAGCCGGCGGACTTTTATGGAGCTCTGCGACCAGCTGAGGCCCGTCCTAGAGCGGCAGACCACCAACATGCGAGCCCCGATTACTGTCGAGAAGCAACTGGGCATCGCCATCTGGAAGCTGGCCACCCCGGACAGCTACCGCTCCGTGGCGGAGTGTTTTGGGGTCGGCCGCTCCACCGTCTCGAGGATCGTCATGGAAGTTTGCCAGGCCCTCTACGACGTTTACCACCGCGTGGTTCACCTGACCCGTCCTCAGGCCGTGATGGCAGGCTTTGCGGCCAAGGGCTTCCCTCACTGCATCGGCGCCATTGACGCCACCCATATCCCAATCATTGCCCCTGCTCACAGAGCGACCGAGTACATCAACAGCAAAGGGTACTACTCCATGGTCCTGCAGGCCCTGGTGGATCATGAGGGCAGGTTCACAGATGTGTACGCTGGGCGGTCAGGGAAAGTCCACGATGCCAGGATCTTCCGTAGCTCCCCCGTCTTCCGCGCTATGAATCAAGGGACGTTTGGTCCCAATACCACTATGGACCTGGGGGGACAGCAGGTGAAACCCGTCATCCTTGGCGACCTTGCATACCCTCTCCTGCCGTGGCTGATGACGCCTTACTGTGGCCACCTGGACACCCGCAAGCAGCTGTTCAACGACACCGTGGGCCGCTGCCGAGCGGTGGTGGACTATGCTTTTGAGCGCCTCCGGGGCCGTTGGCGGTGCCTGCTGTCTCGCCTGGACGTGCGGGAGCGCTATGCCCCCCGCGTCATTGTGGCCTGCTGCATATTGCACAACATCTGTGAAGCCAAAGGGGAGCCCCTCCAGGAAGGCTGGGAGGAGGTGGTCTGGTCTGTCTCTAGATCCTACCAACAACCGGAGCGACAGCCAGTATACGTATCAAACTCTTACGCCAGGGAGATCCGGGATCTTCTTAGTGCATACCTGGAGAAAAAAGAACGAGGAAGGCTGGAGTGAATATACTCTTCCCCTCACACCCAAAAAAGCTCCTTAGGGTCGGTCTGGGGAAGAGGATAGCATTTTTCTTTTCTTTCCCCTCTGCTTCCTGAGGCTTGGCTTTCCTTAAGACTACAGCTGACCTAGTTTGAAAGCATTGGTGCTATTTATCACTTTCCTACCAAAAGTGAGGCAGTTTGAAATTGCAAGTGACCGGTGCACATGCCTGCTACATTCATGGGTATGCTGTGGTTACTGCCTCTGCAGAAGACCTCCTGTTGCTCAGCCAGGCCTGGCTCCATGATTGATGGGTCCTGTTGACAAAGTATACTCTGATGGGTCCCCTTTGATATCAGTAGGCCTAAACAGCCACAGTGAATGGCAGCACCTGGAGGCTGGCTGTCACTATTTCAGGTTCCCCTTGTTCCCTAAAGCTGCCTGGATCCTGGGCATAGTGGGAAGTACAACATCACAGCTCCCAACTACAGCTAACTAACACACAACATCACAGCTCCCAACTACAGCTAACCAACACTGGCTAGAGCATTGCGCTTTGTTGTGCTTTTTTTATTTTTAGGGGGCTTAGAAGAGACATTTGTTATCTGTCACTTCTGATAATTTTTTGGTCCATGTTATTTGGGGGTTTGGAGGCATGGTGTGTGTGTTTTAATTTGTTGTAAACCACTCAGACTAGTGACTTCTCACTAGATGAGCAGTATATAAAAGTAATAAATATAGAATTAAACAATAAACCAGCAGTGGAGCAAATTGCGCCCTTTAGAACATAGGAAGAGTCATGGAAGATGAGACCTAAGGCTTCACTTACAGGCTTGTCATCATCATTTTTGTCTTATTTATAGCATTTTTCTTTTCATTTTAAAAATTCAGAGTGGATTACAACATGCGGCAAAACAAATGACTAAATCCATTAAAAAAATTTAAATCCATTAAAAAGCTGGGGGTACTGGCAGTGTTGATAGGAAAATAGGCACTGGTAGGGAAAAGCCTGGGTGAGCAAGTGAGTCTGTAAGAGGTGGAAACAACCAACACTTGGGAGCCCACCTAATTTCTGCAGGGAAAATTTTCCCCATGGTGACCACCAGAGTAGACAAGGCTTTCCTGCCCACTGCAAATCAGCAATCAAACCTTATTAGGATGCAGTATGGAAAGCGTACCTGCCACTGCCTCAAAGTGTAAAAATCGGATTGATGCATATGGGAATGATTTCTCATATAGCCTCTTCCCGAACTGTTAAGGGGTTTATAAGCTAAACACAACACCTTCAACATAATTTGGTATCTAAATGGAAGTCAGCGCAGATCTTACAGCAGAAGAGTTATTCATGTGTGATAGCAAGTTCCCAAAGGCAGCCTGGCAGAATTCAAATCCTGCTAACCCTGGAGTTCCATCTCATAGAAATCTCAAAAGTCATAGTGGCATCAGCTTCTGATTTATCCCATCCTTTAATAGGATGCACTGGGGAAAAAAACTTGCATCATGGTCATCTAACACAGATTTAGCATTTGAATCCCATTTTAAAAAATGAATAAAATGATGGTGGTGTGTGAAGGGCAGGAATGGGAGATGATGTGTGAAAAATATGGGAAGGAGAGAAGAGGGGAAACGGCCGCAGGAAAAGAAGTTAGAAAAAGAACTGAAAAGAGAACAACTGTGACTGAACAGATTAGGAGGAATTTTATGAAATTGAAAACTCCCAAATGGGGATGAATGCATGTTGATATTACTAGATCTTGATACGGAGGATTTTTTTTTCTGCTTTATGTGAAAAAATAAATTCCTCAAAAATACAAGACCCTTGTCCCGGAGGCAAGATCAGGCTGTCAAAGATAATACCAACTCCCAAATTTGTTCAAGATGCAAATTCTGTATTGAACTGTCTACTGAGTATTCATGTACATTTATATACAGAGCTTTAACTGTAAAATATATGTACTGACTCCAAACAATACGTTTATTCCTTTTCTTCTATTCCAGCTTTCTTCTATAGGACTGCAATTTAATAATCTGAAACATGGTAGCAGACTAAGGCCCTCGTGATATTTTTGGACTGCATGTCCCATCAGCCCTAGCCTTTGCCAGGAGTGGAGGATCGTAGGGTCTGCAAAAATACCTATACAGTATAACGAGTGCAGCTCAGCTTCCCCCCCCCCCGCCCNTTGGAAAGCAATGGGACACGCTCAGGACCTGCTCCATCTGTTTAGAGTTGTTCAGGAAGCCAGTGATATCAGACTGTGGGCTTAACTTCTGCTGGGCTTTTATCAGTAATCATAGTTCATCTTTCGTTTTCAAAGAAAACCATCTCCATCAAGACAGAAGTCAGTGTAGTTTGTTGTTGTGCATTGAACTACACAAGTCAGTGTACAACAAAAGTTACCCAATCAATAGGATTTGGGCCATTGTCTTCCCGTTGTAATCCTGCTGGACTTTCACACTACTTTGCTCTGATGATTTGGTTTGGGGTTTCCCCCCCCCAGGAGGAGTTGTATTGAATGAGACCCCACACCCACTTCCCCCCCTTTCTAAAAAAAGGTAAATTAAAGGAGAAAAAGAATGGTCCATCAAATCTTCTGATTGGTAGTCCTAGGAGACTCCCCCCACCATCTAGAAGCACAGAGAAAGACAGGCTACTATATAATAAAAGCCCAAACTAGAGGATGGGATGGCCACAGAGGCTGACAGCTGAATTTTGAGTGGGTCAGCTTGTTTTCCCAATCAGGTTTCAGTCACTGACATTTTTATGAAGCCATAATAAAGGTACAACTAGTACAGTATTAGGATAATACAAAAAGCTGCATCTTATCATCAGCCATTAAGGTACAATTCAACCAGTCCATTTGGCTCCTGTAAACAGGATGCAGAAGGAATGTCATTTTGTCCTTTGCCCCCAGGCAGCAAAATACCTTGAGCCATCATTATGCTGATGCTACAATTTATGTATTTATGTGCTCATGATTTTAACCAGTGCTAAAAGTATAAACACAGCTTTTGCTTTTATAATATTTGTGTACTTTGCAACTTGCTAGCTGCTTTAGACTGGGTTACCTAGAAAGGAGTACAAATTACTGTACTTCATTTTCTTGTTTTGAGTTTTCTATTTTCTCCTGAGTCCAGAAGATGGTGCTAGAGTGCAACCAAGTTTGCCAATTGAAGGAAAGGCATTGTAGCTAGATGAATTCTGTGCAAGGATTTGATGGCAGATTCCTGACTTGAAAGACACAGAAAACGTGTGCCAACAGCCAGTCTCTGTGAGTGCTCCCTCAAGACTTGATCTTGCGATTTTCAATGGTCTTACAGGTTCCAAGTCTTACAGACTTAGAATGGCTGTGTAGGAGGGAGGGCAACTGCAGCAGGACCAAAGAACACTTCTCAGATTTGCGAACAGCCCAGCAACTGTGGGTGCAGTCAAAGGCTAATTTGCCTTTTTAAGAGGGTGGGAAATTTTGTTTCTTCATGTTGAAAGCAGAGGGGCAGGCAAAATTATGTCCTTGAAACATGACATCTAATTTTGGGACTACAGTACTGTTTGACTATTTTGGACTGATAAAAAAATAGCCAGCCTGGTTGTAGCAGCCAATAAAACAGAAATACATGGCGAGCTCACTTTTGCAAATATTAAAAAATACTCAAGTAGCTTATCAGAAACCAGCACAGGTGGAAAGTTACTCTATAAACAATTAATTGTACATCAGTTAAATGTTTAGTTTATGGTTCTCAACAAGACTAAAATGTTTAAGTAGTTTTTTATCTGCTTGATAGGTAGGAGCAGGGAATAACTCAATTCGCTAGACATAAAGCAGAGTACTTGATAAAAAAAAGTAGGTCCAAATACTGCAATTGGAAAGTGGGTTTTACTTTTGAATGACATCAGAGCAACAGGCAGCTCACTTTATTCAGCTAAGGAAAGACAATTTTCACTGAACAAGTCAATGTCAAGTGGTACTTTTAAGGCTTTCACCAATTCTTAGGCTGCTAGAAACATGTTTTCACTTATGGAATTCCTAGAATAAACTTCTGGTTGGACATTTTCAGAAATTTCATGTTAACTTCAAGCTCAGCTGTCCTGCCCCAGTATCCGGTTTTTACAAGCCTGCTCAACTATCCATAAACGTATTTACCAATACAGTACTGTACTGTATAGGACAACTGCGTAGCGCAGCAGCTCTTCCAGGACGCCCGTGGGTGGCTCTGAAAAGAGCCTTTGGGTCTCAGTATTATCCCCCGGGGCAGGGATGTTCTGTCTTCACTCCTCACTGAACAGCAACTGGCGCCGAGGTAGGCTTCACCGTCACTTTGGGTACCTTGGACTTGCTTCCACCGATCCCAGGCTTGCTGCTGGAGGTATGGAGAACCTCCGTCTTCTTCGGCAGCAAGACAGCATGGATGTTCGGCAGGACCCCACCCTGAGCTATCGTCACGCCCCCCAACAGCTTATTCAGCTCTTCATCGTTGCGGACAGCGAGCTGCAGGTGCCGGGGGATGATCCGGCTTTTCTTGTTATCCCGCGCCGCGTTGCCGGCCAGCTCCAAAATCTCCGCGCTCAGGTACTCAAGGACCGCAGCCAGGTAAACGGGAGCGCCGCCTCCAATGCGTTCCGCATAGTTCCCTTTCCGCAAGAGCCTATGAACACGGCCCACTGGGAACTGTAGCCCAGCTCTGGAAGAGCGTGATTTCGCCTTCGCTCTCGCCTTCCCACCTGTCTTGCCCCGACCGGACATCCTAACAACCTCTTCTGTTTTTTCCGAACTGGAAGAGAATGATAGAATAGCGGACTGCACTGTCTTTTATAGGCCTCTCGGCAAGGTTGTCCTGGCTGTGATTGGTCAAAACTTATGGACCAATAAAAAGAAGGATCCTGTCTGAACCAATAAGAAAAGAGTATTATATGGCCGCAAACAAAAGTAAAAACGCGCGCGTATTTTTTTTAGGAGTTTAGTGCATATTTGTGTAAAAATGAGAGAACAAATATGTCTTTCTTTGTTCCGCGTTCCTTATACCTTTACTAATCTTCGCCTATTATACTTCTAGCAGAAACATTTTCATTTTTCTCTCTGTTCTAAAGATCTACTCTGCCACACTGGCGAAAACCTAAGGGTACGTTTGCCTTCTTTTTGTGTCCACACAATTTCCAACTTGAACAGTTTGGTTAAAAATTCCCAGGACATGAAACCTGCAAAGCTCCTGCCAGCAGTTCTGTTGTGTACATTTATTGCTGCGCATTCTTTTTCACGTTACAGGGATTTTTTTCGGCGCTGAAGAAACACAAACTTGGAGGGAAAACGCGGGGTGGGCGGGGCTTGATTTTTTCACGGTTTTGGCGGGATCTTGGAGAACACTTCGCCCTTTCGCGCTCTTTTTCCTCACCCTCTCTGCCCTGAGACAAGGCGCCCCTAAAACTTGTGGGTTAAACGTAGGAAATAGTGGATTGCCTTCTACCTCCCCACCTAAAAATGATCGTTTGAATTTTAATAATAAAAATTTAATATTAAGTTAACTTGTGTTCTGCTTTGTGTCCGAACAAATTCTGTTCCCTCCTGAATTTACAGTAATTCTACCCTTTTCCTCTAATGATCATACTGTATATAGATATTAAACCCGTCATTTTGCGTGTTTGTTCCAATGACTTGAGTTTTGCTTCCTCAGTTTTGCTGTGCTTACATTTTTATTTTTATTTACAGTTATTAAGGGGCTGCAGTTCTACTTACCCGGATGAATACAGTAGTTTGACGGGAAGTCGTGTAGAACTATGGGGCTTGGTTTCCAAGTAAACTCGGCCAAAATATAGTACAGTATAGACTATATTGCTTAATGTGTCTCATCTGATTAATTTTTATACACGTATATCCTTTGAAAACCATGAAGTTCTGAGGTACCATAAAGTCTAGGAAATGTATTAAGGCTTTCCCGAAGTCCGCATGAAATGCATGAAGCTTTATCAGTCTCAGGTCATTTATCTTATTGATTGATTGATTGATTTAATTTATTCATTTTATTTGTATGCTGCTTTTCTCCCCATAACCACCCAAGGAGGCTCACAACAGATAATTCAATTTAACAACACTAGATAAATATATATTTAAAACAATATACTACCCAGATTTACGGTGCACACCCCTGAAATATTGTACTGAAGAACTGTTTATGTAGCCGCTAATGTGGGTTGAAAACCACAAACGTTCCTGCCAGAATACATTTCTTAATGTTCAGCATGCCTGGTTTGTTGGCAGGTTTTTGTTTTTCCATCTTTTCTCTTGTAGGCTAGGAGGGCTGCCATTCTGGAAATCCTTAAATAGTTGCCTTGAGCTCATATGGGATGATTTCAAATCTACTGCCCATTGCTGTGAAGACGGCAAACTGAATAACGTTTTGTCAATTTATATTATGATCATAAGCATAAAAGATATTTGCAGTTGTAGGTTTTTCTTCCTCACGTTTCGTTAGACTTTGCCAGCCACAGAGACTAGCGAAACGTTAGGAAGAAAAACCTTGAGAACACAGCCAAACAACCCGAAAAACCTACAACCACCATCGGATCCCGGCGGTGAAAAGCCTTCGAGAATACATATTTGCAGTAATTCTATCACCACTATGATATTAAAATCCACTGGAGAATTTTTATTAGGAATAACTGAAATTCCATAAAAGCTTTGATAGAATGCCGGTTAGTCGTGATAAAAGTATTGCCCGCCAATGGATTTGGGTCTGGTTTTTCATGGATCCGACATTGCTACTTTAGTCATCAACAGTAAATCCTACCTAAGTTTATTCAGGAGTTAAACCAGCCCCCATTCATTTGAATGGAGTTTCATCCTAGCACAGGATGTACAGTCGTCTCTAATCTAATTGGAGCCTCCTTTTGAAAAAAATGCAGGATATTGGTTTCATAGCTGGACTGTTTTTACTTCAACCCAAATACGCCGAACCTACGTCCCCACCTGGGCAATCTGAAATAATTCTGGCTAGCATTACTAACTATCCCCTAGTATTAACATTTATTTTCAACTGTCAAAAAACTATTTTGCTTCCCGAGGAATCAAAATCCCGCCTCATTAGGCATACGTAAGTTACATAACCTGCTTGCAGTTACTTATTAAACGTGTGTTCCCCTCTTTAATCGCTTATTACAAACCAATTCAGATCTATAAACCGAATCCGATATGGTTTTACTGTTGCGTCTGAGAAGGCGTAGTAGACTCGAGTGCACAGAATTCTTCCTCAAGCTGAATAATGACCCAAATGGTTAGTGCTAGTGGGCAGAAAGGCAAGCTGACTGACTGGGACTGGGGCATTAACGTCAGGCGAGATTTCTCCTTTTCCTCTCCCTCCCGCTTTGAATTACTATTCAATTCAGGCAGGAACAGTTCTGTAAGCTTGGAAGCATTTTTGCCCAATGTAACTGTATGGAGCTACAGTATTTTTAAATTTCAAAAGGTGCTAGGATGTATTTTCTGTTCCATCTATAGGTAGAACGTATGTATTATAAGGAAAGCTTGGTTAGATTCAGATGAAAGACAGAAAACAAAACGGGTGGAAGAAATAATTTAAAATAAAGCCAAGGACACGACTGTATATTACTGGCACAAAATAGCAATCATTTAAAGTGACTATCGAGGGACGCAAAATAAGCTGTTATTCTTATACACCACTCAAGAGTGACGACCATTTGGCCAGACGGGTGGTCTAGAAGTGCAAAAATTAATGAGTGCATGAGTTAATTAATAAGAAAGTACAAAAGGACTGCAGTTGAACAGAACAAGGCAAAAGTGATGTCTGCAGAGGAGTTACATACATTTAATGCGGACAAGGAAGAAATTGAAATTGTTAAATATCCTCTATATCTTGACTCAATCACCAGCCCCAACGGTGACTGAACCAAGATCGACGATGTGGGATTCCCCGAGTCGGCACTGATCGGTTTCTGAAAAGCGGCCAATGAAAAAATAGCAGTATTTTTCTCGGCTCTTACGTCCACAATTCACTCCCCCCTTATTAACCCTCCCGACACACACAAAAATTAAAATAACAGTCCTGTGTACTCACTCCGTACTGGTGCAAGAAGCTAGCCGTAAACTATACCAAATACACTTACATCCAAAAATATACAGGTACTACATTCTTCTACAATTATTCTATACAGAGGTCACATTCTTCTACACAGATTATTAACTCTACAGTATTTGGGTTCTGGCAGAAGGCGGCGGCAAGACCTTGCTGGTTCGTTTTAAAAGTAGTTTCAGCGAAGCATCTTCGCAGAAGCCTGAAATCCCCAGATCTTTCCTGAGGTAGCATTTATTGTTTCGGGAAGATGAGGATCTTCTGTTGTGAGAACAATGATGAGACAAAAAATAGAACAGCTCTTCAGCAGCTCTAATACTTGCACAGGACTTTCATCTGTCGTAAATTGTTTGATAAGCCACATCTGCTGACACATTCATTCCCTTTTATACAGCTATTGTAGGTGTGACAGCTCCATTTTTATCCAGCTACCTCAGCTGCAGAAGTAAGCGCTTGATTCTTTATTTTGTTTCACTTTAGTCTTAACGCCTATAATCACTTAACATTTCTAAAACTAGGCTTGAGTAATCTATAATACATATCTTATAATGTATTACAAATACAGTATAAAAGTAAGCCTTTATTTAAAAAAAAAGGTGACGTGGTGGTTTTTTTTTGCGTATATGCCTTTCTATTAAGCTTATTAGCATCGTCAAAAATAAATGATAAAGGCATATCACATAACTATGAAATAGGATCTGACCTGATTGAAAACTGAAACTTCTCAGAATTCGGATAGAACTACATACGGTTGGTGTGGTGCATCGCAGCCAATAGCCATCCACCTTAACGGGTAATATTTAAATTGAGATGACCTCATTGCTGATGCTCAAGTCAGCGTCTTTTCCTCACTCGGTCGAGGAGCTGCGTTTGCTCAGGTTCTAAATTCTGCATTTTCAAAGAAAACAAGCAGGAGACTGAGCTTTTTTTCTCCTTTTTCTGTACTATTTAGGGGCTTCCTTGACTCTTACGTTCTGAAAACTTGGACGTGGATTTTGTTGGCTCAGGTACTGGCAATGTATGCTTTCTACAGATATGTGTCTAAATGTTAATTCTGTTTAGGTATTACAGTATAGTATATGGAAATAAGGCATAGTAAACTCATCCAGATTTACTACTGCAGAGCATACCTATGCTCCGGAGGGGAATGGAGATTAAAAGGAAGAATGAGAACAAAGAGAAAACATAGAATAGAACTAGGGAGGGGAAGGAAAAGGATATGATGTTGGGATGCAAGATATTATGTAATTAGGAAAGAAAAGGGGGGTTAGAATCCTACTTATGCTTGGGTAAGTTTTGTGTAATTTATCTTAATTTTAAAAGTGCCAGGATGCACCTTTGTCACATGCCTCATTCACAGCTCTTCATAAATTAGTACGAGCAAGTTACAAAACCTGACATGAACACCAATATGATTTTGTCTAGATTCATTTATCAGACTAATTTCTTCACTTCCACAATACTGAATGTAGTGTGTATGGTTATTACTCTTATTTACATACCTGTACCTAATAGTCTCCTGAGGTAGTCCAGACTCTTGAGAGAATGACTGTTCCAAGTCACAGTGCAAATTTCCAAGCCAGGGCTGGTGCAAGATACTTTGCAGCATAAGGCAAAGAACAAGGTTGCACCTTCTCCCTGTCCATGTACAAAAAACCAACACTCTGCCGGGATGAACACCCAGCCTCTGGCTCCACAGTCAGATACCTAAACCACTGAGCTTGATTTTCCACTGTTTGTCCTAAATGTATGCTTTCTACAGATATGTGTCTAAAAGTTAATTCTGTTTAGGTATTACAGTATATGGAAACAAGGCATAGTAAACTCATTCAGATTTACTACTGCAGAGCATACCTATGCTCCTGAGAGGAGTGGTGATTAGAAGGAAGAATGAGAACAAAGAGAAAGCATAGACTGGAACTAGGGAGGGGAAGGAAAAGGATATGATGTTGAGATGCAAGATATTAATTAGGAAAAGAAGAGAGAGGTTAGAATCCTACTTATGCTTGTGTAAGTTTTGTGTGATTTATCTCAATTAATTTAAAAAGGGCCAGGATGCACCTTTGTCACATGCCTCATTCACAGCTTAGTATGAGCAAGTTACAAAACCTGACATGAACACCAATATGATTTTGTCTAGATTCATTTATCAGACTAATTTCTTCACTTCCACAATACTGAATGTAGTGTGTATGGTTATTACTCTTATTTACATACCTGTACCTAATAGTCTCCTGAGGTAGTCCAGACTCTTGAGAGAATGACTGTTCCAAGTCACAGTGCAAATTTCCAAGCCAGGGCTGGTGCAAGATACTTTGCAGCATAAGGCAAAGAACAAGGTTGCACCTTCTCCCTGTCCATGTACAAAAAACCAACACTCTGCCGGGATGAACACCCAGCCTCTGGCTCCACAGTCAGATACCTAAACCACTGAGCTTGATTTTCCACTGTTTGTCCTAAAAGAGCCAGACTGTGTGACCTTGGGCAAGCTGCGTAGTCCCAGAGCACCCCAGAAGACTGAATGCTCTTTAACTAGAAAACCTTGAAAAGCATCACCATAAGTCTGAATTGACTTGATGGCAACAACAAAAAGCCTTGTATGAATTGTGTACTTTCTAGAAGACTCTCCTATTATTCCTGTGGTAGTCAAGTCACTGTGAAAAGCAAGAGCACGCAGCTGTGGACTCCAGGCTGTAGCTCCCATAATCCTTCAGCCTTAACTATAGTGGGTAAGATTGCTGGGAGTTCTGAGCCCAAAATATCTGGAAGGCTACAGTGGTCCATCCTTGGTATAAAGCCTTTAAAACACCAGATGAGATTGTTTGCTTGACTCAGCTGTGTAAATCTTGCTATAATACTGTACTTTCTTGTCTTGCTTGCCCAGAAACCTAAAGCCCACGAGTGATGAGCCATGGTTAGAACTACGAAGGCATCCCGTGATTTTGTCTAGATTCATTTATCAGACTAGTTTCTTCACTTCCACAATACTGAAGGTGGTGTGTATGGTTATCACTCTTATTAACGTACCTAATAGACTCCTGAGGTAGTCCAGACTCTGACAGAATGGCTGTTCCAAGTCACGGTGCAAATTTCAAAGCCAGAGCTGGTGCAAGATACTTTGCGGTGTAAGGCAAAGAACAAGGTTGCACCCTGTCCATGTACAAAAAGCCAACACTCTGCTAGGATGAATTTAAGTTCACCTACCCGTCAGAACACCCAGCCTCTGGCTCCACAGCCAGATATCTAAACCACTGAGCTTGATTTTCCACTATGTATCCTAGAAGAACCAGACTGTGTGACCTTGGGCAAGCTGCATAGTCCCAGGGCACTCCAGAAGAAAAGTAAGCCACTTTACTGAATGCTCTTTAACTAGAAAACCTTGAAAAGCATCACCATAAGTCTGAATTGACTTGATGGCAACAACAAAAAGCCTTGTATGAATTGTGTACTTTCTAGAAGACTCTCCTATTATTCCTGTGGTAGTCAAGTCACTGTGAAAAGCAAGAGCACGCAGCTGTGGACTCCAGGCTGTAGCTCCCATAATCCTTCAGCCTTAACTATAGTGGGTAAGATTGCTGGGAGTTCTGAGCCCAAAATATCTGGAAGGCTACAGTGGTCCATCCTTGGTATAAAGCCTTTAATACACCAGATGAGATTGTTTGCCTGACTCAGCTGTGTAAATCTTGGTGTAATACTTTCTTGTCTTGCTTACCCAGAAACCTGAGATTTACTCAGCTGTGTAAATCTTGCTGTAATACTTTCTTGTCTTGCTTACCCAGAAACCCAAAGCCCACCAGTGACGAGCCATGGTTAGAACTACGAAGGCACCCCAAAAACTGGTGAGGACAACCAAACCATGGAACAAGGCTGTCCCTCAAGGAATTTACAGACTAGCCACCGTCCGTGATCCAGGAAAGAAGTCCTTGTCCTATCATTGCTACCATCCCAAAGCATCAGTGTTGCAGCTAATCCGCCAGTATCAGAAGAAGGCACCCAAGTTATTGCTCAGCCAGCTCCCTTTTCTGCACTTCACCAAGAGGTTGGCACATGGCATTGAGAAGAACCTGCGGTTCCAAACCCCTGCTGTCTTGGCCCTCCAGGAGGCCTGCCAAACGTATCTGCTTGAGCTCGCTGAGGACTGGAACTTGTGTGCTATGCATGCAAAAAGAGTTACTGTTTTAAACAGTGACATTCACCTTGCCAGATGCCTTCGACGAGAGATGGGGATCTGAAGGTGAAAGCCTGTTCATTTCTAGTACCATCATGCTGTGGAAGAGCAAGATAATTAGGTAATAGAGGATGATGTGATCAAGATATTACCTACTGGTCCATTTCATATTAAAGCAAAGAGAGGCAAGCTTCTGAATTGGAGACAGAAGTACAAAAATTCTCTATAACTTAAAAACACACCTTTTCCTGCTTTGGCCTGTCCACCAAAGGCAGTCCATCAGCTATGCCTCTTGGTCTACTAGGTGCTACCTGGTTTGACCAATTCCAGTTTTAGGAAAACCAGACGGGCAGCTAAAACAGCTTTACAAAGTACCTGGTGTGCTACAGCCCAATCTGGTGGCTAGCACTTTATACAGGGCTTTACTCCTGCCATCCAGTCTTCATTGAGTGACCACAATGTAAAAACATAGCCTCAAGCATGGTTGAGCTTAAGATATTTTTCCTGTTTCTTTGTTGATGACAAAAAGTATTGTTGTTGCATAGATAAGCGTGTGGTTTTCTTCGGTTATGAAATTTATTACATGGACTGTGCACACAAATGCTTGGAAGAATTTTCAAGTCATGTGTTAAGCATGTTACTTTATTTTTGAAGGATTTGATTTTGCCAAAATTTGATTGACAATATAAGCCACGTCACTTGGATCTGGCTTTTACAACAAGCTAACTGTTCCTACTGGCTTTCAATTATTATGGAAATTAGAACCCAGAGCTAATAAAAGGGATTTAAGCTACAGATGTTGGCCAAGCTGCTTTGTTACAAAACACAATAGGTACAATACACTTTGTAGGTTCTGTGTTTCTACTCATTGTGATACAGTGGTTACATGTGGGTGTCGTGACAAGCCAATGTTCTGTGGGAACCTTCAGACACTGAGGATAAGCAGGATGTATGCTGTCCAGGCACTCGTGATTTATGAAGAAGTGACTAAACAGATCATATGGTGAGTAAAACTCTTCACATAAGTGAAAATTCTCAGTTGACATATTATACATAGAAAAACCAAACAATATACCAAGAGAACTTTTCAGTGATGTTACAATTTTTACTCACCGTCTCTGTACGGCTCTAAAAGCTGCATTATTTTCTGTGCTGTGAAGAGTATAGTACAGAATGATCGCTTTCAGTACAACCAAGGTCTTTTTTTCCAGATGTTGAAAAGCCATGGATCCAACTCTCAAAAGAGAGAAGCTAAAGTGGTGGGTTGTAGCTAAAGACAAATTTGCATTTTTTTCTTGTGAAGTTAATGCATTTGTATTAACCTAAATATGGGGTTTTAATGGGAAAAGTCTGCACTTACCAGTGCCCAGAAATATAGTATATTGGAGATTGGATGTTCACCTCGACTCCTTAACATCATCAGGTCCTTACATGAGGAAATCAAGGG